AGGAGATGGGTGTGAGAGTAGACACTGCCATCCCTCTGCGAGAGGAGTGTGACACAACTCACTAACTCATCAAGGGTTGGTGAACTCACGTGCACACTGTACAGAACCTGATGTTACATTTTCCAGGGGCCTATCACAGGCTGTGCAGTGCAGTGGTGACAGGCTGAGTTTGTGTGTAATGCAGTCTGTTTACCCCTTTGAAGCTGTGAAAACAAAGATGAGGTATTCTTCCCATGCACGGCTCACCTGCTTCCTGTGTACCATGGGGCTCAGCCTTGTTCCTGTCTCTTAGGTTGTTGCAGGAATTACTGAGGTGAGCCTTAAAGCCCTCTGCATGGAGCTGTCATCACTACCAACACCACTGCCACCTCCACTGTCACCCAGGGACCTTCTACAATTTTTTTCTAAAAAAAGAAACATTAAACCTGCAGAAGCAAAGGATTCCAGTGGTGATAGAAGGGACCACCTTCCCATCACCACCATTTTGGGCTGCTGTTGAGCCGTCCTGGAAGTGAGCCATATAAAGCAAGGCCTTAGAAGGCCATGTCTCCTGGCTCTCATCCCCCAGGATGTGGGATGTGGGTTGGGGTTTTCCCCTTAGCTCCTGCATGGAGAGAAAAGGCTTGATGCATAGGGTATGTGAAAATGCTGGCCGGGCAGCACTGGCATTCCTGCCACAGACTTCCGGGACTTCACGCAGCTCAGCTGCAAGCAATGAGTGAACCTCCAAGAAGGGAAGGCTTTTTTGCAGCAAGGTTTCCCAAACACAACAATATAGTTGAGCCTCTGTATCTGTGGGTTCTGTATTTCAGTATTTAACTCAACTGTGGATGGAAAAAAAAATTCAGGGAAAAACTGCATCTGTTTTGAATATGTACTAACCATTTTATCATTATTACTCTGCCAACCAATACAATATAACCACAAATTATCCAACATTTATATCATGTTAGGTATTATAAATCATCTAGAGGTGATTTAAAGTATCTGAGAGCATGTGTGCAGGTTATATGCAAACACTACATGTAAGACCTGTGTAAAGGACTGCAGCATGCACAGATTTTGGTATCTACAGGGGGTATTAGAACCAACCTCCTTCAAATACTGGGCAATGACTTACAGTCAATGTACATTCATGGTAATTCTGTTCTGCAGAGCCTGAATTAGTAAATTCTGAATGAGTGCCCCCAGAGGAGATACAGAGCTAGGATCCTGTCAACCAACTGACCCAGAACCTTGTTTTATATATGTTTATGTTTAAAAACGCCTCACTGAATATCTCTTTCTTATAAATAAGTATGTACAATATTTATTTAAAATAAAACACCCACTGAGAGGAGTTTAACATTTCCCTGATCCCAATGGATCATGAGATCATACATTTATTGGGTTTCTAGCCTACCCGTTGTGTTTTTTTTCAAATTGGTCATTGTCTTACCGATCTGTAAGTTTAGCCACATTTCTGTTTTTCTCTATAACTTCAGCACACACCACAGGTGTCACTTCAACACTTTCCAGAGTGGCCACACACGCAGATGAGCGAGTTTTTCTCTTCCCTTATCTGGCTATACTGGATAATTGATCCACTAGCACTGAACTGATTACTAGCAGTGCTATACATCATGCCTGGGCGAAGATTATCTAACACATGTATTTTCTCCATAACACACTGCACGGCCTTCTTGCACTTAAGAATACTGGCTAGGACTGCAGCACTACATTTGGGGGTCATTTTATCACTAAAACTTAAAAAGCCATCCACAAAAAGCACAAAAACGGAGGCATGAGTGAGAGCATGAAGTTTACAGTATGAGTGCTAAAAAAAAGAAGGTAAAGCCTTGTTCAGCCTCAGCTGGAAAAATGGAAGCTGACCATTTCTGACTGCAAAATTATCATGAGTACTAACTTTAGGGTTACAGATGAATTTTAGCAAGTAAGTAAACTCACAAATATAGAATTCCTGGATAAGGAGCAAAGCCTGTTCTGATTACAGAATACCTCTAACGGCATGCTTTACGCTGAAATCCTGAGTGAGGTTTCCCAGGACAGGTAATTTATCTCTTTGACTTGAAAACTACCTACAGTAGAATTCCACATTCCCGCACAACACAGTATTTTTTGCCTTTTCCAAATTTTCCTCAATGGCAGGGCACATCATCCGAGTGGAAGGAACATTGAAAGCCCAGTAAAAATAATCAGGAAAATTATATGGCAACATGGAGAAACGTTTATGGTATGTTCAATCTTAAAGGCTGGGTGACAAAATTACTTCTGGGATGTCACAACAGCTATGTTTTCAGTGCTACCACCTGTAAAGGAACACAAAAATGAAAAAAGCTCGTATGTTAGGGTGGTGGGAACCACTGAGAACACATTTCATTTTCCTGTTTCTAACTCTAATGCACTTATTTGTCACTGATGCAATGACTTAATAAACAGTATTCGATGCATGTTGAACTCTTCTAAAAAGCTTGGCATCTGAAGTGCTCTGCATTTGAGATCTTATAATATTTTCTTGGGGATGGGGCCTGAGTATAAACACAAAATTCATTTGCTTCACATACATTTATACATAGAGCCTGAAGGTAGCTGTAAATAATATTTTTGTGCACCTATATTTTGAGCATGAGTTGTCTCAGCAGGCCAGGTGTGGACTTTTTCACTTGTAGCATCAGGTAGATGCTTAAAATGTATCAGATTTTGGCTTTTCATATTAGATACATTCGACCTAGTCTGTCAAAAATATCCAGTTTTTCAAGCTTTAAGATGAAAAGAGAAGTGAGGGCGCCATGGAATTCTTCTTGCAATGAGGTCTTCCATAGCCTCCAACTTGCATGCAACCGCTTACTGAATGCACATTAAGATACAGAGGTTCTGGGGCGGGGACCCCAGTGACGACCACACTTTAAAAAGAGATGGTCTAAACTATGTGCACAGCCAGTACTGCCCATCTCTCCCTTCAGATTGCTTTCTGCTGCAGCCTTAACCCTAGCAGTACACTAACTGTCCAGATAGCTCTGGGAACACAGAGTCGGGCTTGGGCCTCAGTGGCATCCTGAGCTTGTCTTCACTGGCTCCTGGCACACCCTAGCCATGCCCAGGAGAGTAAGGGACTGACCTGGGGAAAGCAAGCTCTGACTTCAAACAATGCACCACCAAATTACTCAGGGCAGGTCCTTCACATAGAATCGTGCTTTCAAGACCATTTCTACCACCAGTGGCTCTTTTTGGTCTGATTCCAGAGTTCCTCATGCAAAATGGGCTACTCAGGTCTATAGCATGTGAGGCTCCTCTCCTGTGTATGAGGCCTACAGAGTCCTGAGGGTGCATGCAGGGCCCATTCATCAGGCCCTACTCAACCCTGACTTTGGAGCTGTGAGGCCTTCCCCAGACGGAACTAGTTTGTGAATTAATAAATGAATGAACGAAAGGAAAAAAGCTATAAAATCATTCTCCAGCTTAAATGAGCTTTTCTAAAACCTAGGATAAAAGAACTTGCTTCAAGGACACACATTCTACTTAGGAAATGAAGTTATCTGTTTTCCCATTTAATGTCTCTTCTCTGAAGAATGGACTTCCTCCTGGTCTTCCACAATGGCTAGGGACTTCCTCCACCGCCACGTACCCTTATGAATGGGACCCACCCCACTTCATTCATTCCCTGACCTCAAAGCTCTGCAAGCCAGAGGTCTGTGGCATTTCAGCATCTGGTTAGCAAGAAGCCCAACAAACAAAATACCAGGTCTTGCTCACTCTCCATCAGGGAGTGATTTCCAAAGATAATTTTCTCTTGACAGCATCTCTGACATGGGACGCCATGTGCTACAATAGAACACAGTGTGTCACAGGCTCTGTGAGACCCACATAACTCCCTGTGGGGCCATCATCACTGCTGCGGACGAGTTCAGGCTCTGCCAAGGACCGAAGAAAGATGATGGCCAGTTGGCCCAAAGCCCAGGCCCCAGGCCCAGAGCCCCTGCCCTTCCTTTATACCCCACAATGCCCTCTGAATGCAGAATTGCTGTGCGTGACAGGAACACCCCCAAAGTAAAGTCAATTTCTACTTAGCCTTTAGAAGGAACATAAGGTGTCAAAATTGCAAGTGCCAGAAATCTACCATCAAGTCAATATGACTTTGTATGTACATTATGTATTTTGTATGCTATATACTATATATATTCAAACTCGTGAACTTTCTGGGGAAAAAATAAGGCTTTTCAAGCAGTCCACAGACTGGGCCAATACAAGTTCCTTTACACAAATACAATAATCACATCTTTAAATACTCATGATTGGCCTGTTTTTAAATGCCAGTTTTTTAGATGGGTTTATTAGAATACAAGCTTATTTTGCTCTAATTAAAAGAAAATATAATTATGTTTACAACCACTGTCTACATCAGTACTCATTCCTTTTCCAAGACTTTGTCAAACTTTCCAATAATTGTTTTCAAAATAGTCGCTACCATAGCTAACTGCCCATCGGGGCAAGGCCTGGAGCTTCCTAAGACAGTGAACGCGGATACAATGACCACTCTGAAATATACTCAGGCCGCTGCCCCTTGCTGTGGCTGGGGCGGTGCATGAACACCGACACCTCCCACCCTCGCCAATGCCACGCTGGCCACAGGAAGCCACCCGGCAGAAGCGCAGGCCAGCGCTCTCATGCTCTCCCACCACGAGCAGATCCAGGACTGTGGGCTAGAAACCGAACCTTCTGCAGGATAGGGAGGCACTAGCAGCCACTCAGGCCTCCCTGTGGAACCTTCCTGATGTTCCCGCCTGAATGTGAGCGTCAGAGTGGGCAGGACATTCAGAGACACGCCCACGTCACTGAGCGGGGAAGAGCCACTCACGCACTCGGACCTGCACGGCAGCCCGGTCCTCTCCCGCTGTCTTCACACTGTCACGGTGCTGCAGCTTCTGCACCTGCAGGGCCACAGCAGCTGCCACAGCTCATGGACCCCTCCGCTCCCTCCCCCGGGGACAGCCACCACCTACCTGCTCCTGGGCCCACTTTGGCCTCTCCTCTGGTGTCCTGGTCTTGGTTTTGAAGCCTCTCTGGGGGTCTCCAGGGTGCTTGGCCTCAGCGGGGAGGTGCAGCGACTTGGGCCTGGCCTCGTGCCGGCTGGACCCATGGCTGGCCTCGCCAGGCGTGCAGGCCTCTGTGGAGTCCCCGGGCCCCAGTTCGGGCATGTGCTCAGGGCTGGCCTCACTGACACTGGTGATACTGGTCATGCTCAAGCTCATCTTGATCTCGGCCACGATCTGGTCAATATCCTCCTCCTGGTCCTCCAGGTCCCCATCCCCACGCCTCGGGCAGTAGGGGGAAGCACTGCCTACGCTCCCATTGGCCTCCGAGGGGTAGTAGTCCTGGTACCCCTCTTTGCTAGGACAGTAGTGGCCGCCTTCTTCCTGGTCCTGGGCCTCCAGGACAGAAGTTTCATCTTCCGGGATCGGCAGGTGGCCGTCTGGGTAGTCTTGACTGTCTTCAGCCCCGTGGCCAAGCGGGTGTGGGCTTGCCGAGTCTGTCCACTCCTCCACGGCTTCCTGGCATTCATCGGTGTCCACAGGGTGTGTGCCGTGGGCCACGTACTCCTCCCCGTTGCAGTCCATGCCCTCCAGGTAGCTGTCATCCTCTGGGCAGTAGCGGATGTAGTAGGTGATGCCTTCCTCTTCCTCAGGGAGGCCCTCATCATAGTCCTCCTCCTCGGAGGTGTTGTTCACATAGTCGGAGCTGGAGTCCCCATCAGGGCTGTGGTTGTGGCATTCCTGCTGCTCTGGCGTGGGGCTCTCGGGCCTCAGGCTGGCCAGCTCCAGGCCCTTGGGCACATAGCCCTCCAAAGGCAGCTCCACATCCTTGCTCTCGGGCTCCTGGCCATGCGGCATGGGTCCTGGCCTGGCCCTGTGGTCAAGCATGCTGTTGGCAGTGCTCTGGCGGTTCCGGTGGGCCATGGCGGACATTCAGGCGGCCATCATCACCTGGAGGCAGCTGCTGTGGGGAGGAACGTTTGAAAGACGAGAGTCAGAACTCAGAGATCACAGCCAAGTGCAGAGGCATGCAGCCCACTCCACAGTTGCCACAGAGCCTGGCTGCCACGTTCGCTCAGAGCGGTGTGAACACACATCTGCTCAAGGACCGCAACATTCCCACCCAGCAGTCTCACGTGCCAGAAACAACGTGCGGCCACAGCAAGGAGCCCAGGCAGAGCTCCGGGAAGAGGAGGGGTGGGGAAGCATCCACCATCAGAGGACGCCCACTCAGCCCTCAGAACTCTTGAGGCACCTGTGACCTCCACACAACGCTCACTCCATGAGGGGCAGCCCAGGCAACAAGACAAAGCGTCACAAGATCAGGTTAGCCGCTCTCAAGCGGAAGAGGCGTTCATCCAGAAGGACATGATGATGCGGGCTAAGAAGGTATGTCAAGGTTTCCCAGGCGAAATCTGTGCTCCTTGACAAGGCACACGCGCACCGCAACAGCGCACCGTGCCCTAGAACTGGTACGGCAATTATGCATCAATTAAAAATCAAGGGAAATAAAAATAAATGAATAAAGTACATTTGGGAGGCGGACTCAGTGGGACTCCATGTGGAAATGAAGCCTGGCATTTTCCTATATTTCCAAATACGGTTCCAACTTTTCCTAAACCATGTGAACGTACTACGTTTAGTGTTTAATAAATTTTAAATAAAATTGTATATTAAGACGAGCTATTATGATGACCATCTCAGTGCCCCTCCCCTATGGATTTGTCCCTGCTTTGCTGTCCCCTCCCCACTCCAAGCGGGACATCACTCACAGAGGGACGAGAGGTACAGGTGGCACTTTGGCTAAGCAAGCCCAGGGAAGCGCAGCACAGGACAGCGTTGTGTGGCCACAGGGAGGAGAGAATCCAGGCTGCCCCGTGGCTTACAATGTGCGTGACCCTACGAAGCCAAGTGGGAGAGGACTTGGACCTCCCCGCACAGCACTCTGTACTTCATCCTCCAAGCCAAGCAGAGTCAGAGGGCATAACAGACAGGATTTATTTTCTCCTGTGTTGGGGACTGAACCTAGGGTGCTCCACCGAGTTACCATCCCCAGCTCTCTTTGTACTTTTTAAATTTAGAAATAGGTTCTTGCTAAATTCCCTGGGCTGGTCTTGAATTTGTAAGCCTCTTGCCTCAGCCTCCCAAGTAGCTGGGATTATAGACATGCACCACCAACACAGCACAGAGAAGACTGCATGGAGAAGACTTTGCGGGGCAGAGGCCAGAGGAAGGGAGACTGGTAAAAAGACTACTCTGGTTTTCTAGCACAAGGGAAGAGCTAGGAGCAGGAAAAAATAAAGGAGAGAGTGTTAGAATGTTTGGCTGAAGTTCTATTTTTTGTACTGAACTGCTACCCAAGTGTTCGCTTTATTCTTGAAACTGTACTTTAACATTATACATGCCTATTTGTTTGCATCATAGTTACTTATTTCTTAAAAATGTACTCCAGTAGTCCAGTAAGGAAATGAGAACTTAGTCATGGTGGAACACACCTGTAATCCCAGCTACTCTGGAGGCTGAGGTAGGAGGGTGGTAAGTTCCAGGTCAGCCTTAGAAACTTAGCAAGAACTACCTCAAGAAAATGAAACATAAAGGGCTGGGGACATGGTTTAGTGTGAGATCCTGGGTTCATTCGCCAGTACTCTAAAGAAAAAGGAAAAGAAAAACAAAAAGAAAAAGAAAAAAAAAAGAGAAGTTATATATTTGAAAAATGGTAAGATGGTAAATTTTATATTGGTCTATTTTACCACAATGAAACAAATTTTTAAAAAAGAAATGAGATCTTAAATTAAAATAGTGGAGATGAGAGAGGAAGGCTCAGTGGGTATTTAGGTCGAAGCAACGATGGGACCCGAGGTCAGACCCAGGGAGCGAGGACAGAGGGGTGCCATCAGCCGTGCCCGGGGTAGTCACTGCCCAGACCCTGCCCGCACGTCCTCTACACCCTCTTTCTTCAGTCCAGTCCCTCGGGAGCTCACAAACATAAGGTCCTTCACACCCTGCATCTCCCACAGTGCTCACACAGCAGCCCGGTGTGCAGCAGTGCCCAAAACACATCTCGACGGGAGACAGCCTTACCAGATGGTCACAGTCACAGCGTTACGAACATTTGCAGAAGAACCGAGAAAGAGATAATTATCTCATCCAGTGCAGACACTCAGAGTGTGAGCACAGTTACTGATGGAGACACACGCTTCCGCCGTGTGAATTCATCCCAGAGATTCGCCATGGACAGGATCAGACTTTCTTCCTGAGTCCACAAGAGGCTCACGAGTGGCTGTGCCTTGATAACAGGCCTGAAATGCTGCTGGTTCACAACACCTCCCCAGAATGGCCCACCGCCTTAAAGGCATCCCACACCAGGAACACTGCTGGCGAACAGGACCCTGTAGGGCCTGCATGTACCCTGGAGTCACTCCCAAACCCTGATGCTGGCAGGAAACTTCCAAAGACCTGTCCCCAGGAAGGACACTGAGCTCAACATTCACCAGGCACTGTAACCTGAGGGCACATCGAGAACGATGAAGTGCCTTAAAGACAAGACATGACCGGACGGCAGGTTTCTGATGATCCCCGAGAACCGCCAAGCACAAAGGACAGGCTGCAAGCATGCTATGAAAAACTCAGCAGCCACAGTTCTGCACCCAGTTCTGGAAACAGCATTCCCCAGAATGGTTCCCCAGAAGCATGTGCGGAAGGCAGTGCTAGCCCATGACCACAGATGTCCATGCCTTGACTGTGGAGGCGGAGGGCAAATGGCATCAGCAGTTATTGGCAGGTGAGCATGCAGCTCCACTACTTGGGGAGCAACACTATCTCCACAGCATTCTGTATGTCCCCATGGCTTGACACCAGGCCAAGCACACTGCAGACACACATACCCTCCATATCCACAGATTCTGCATCCAGGGAGTCAACTAAATGCAGATTGCGGATATTTTTTAAATGTATCTATACTGAACCTGCACAGATCCTTTATCTTACCATTATTTCCTAAAAATTCAGTGTAACTACTATTTATATGGCATTCACATTGTATTAATGTAGTGGTTGACTGGGTCAACCTGAGCAGTTTAGAAGCTTAACTAAATCAGCTCAGCACTTCTATACCCTAGGGTGTAGAGGGTCCACCCTGGGGCAGCTCTTCTACATGCTAGGGTGTAGAAAACCCACCCTAGGATGGCTTGTTGTCCCAGTGGTATAAAGGGGAAATGAGGAAGGAGAGACTGGCTTCCATTCTTCAGAGGAGCTCTAGTCTTTGCCTTCAGCTTGGATGTCGTCTCTTGGCTTCCACACAGACTCTTGGCTTCTGTTGTAGACTCTTCAGCCTTCCACTGAGGAAGTCAGCTTCTGCCACGGATCCTTCAGCCTTTGGTCACAGACTCCTCAGCTTTCTGGTGTAGACCCTTAAACCTTCCAGCATAGACCCATCAGCCTCCTGATATGGACTTGCACAGACACTGCACTGAACTCCAGACCTTGGGCTGAAACCTTCAGTCTCCAATGTGCAGACACCCTCTGCACGCTTCCTCCTCCAGCTCCGTGGCTGACCATCATAAACCAATCTGGTAACTTCTTATACATTTGCATATCTTGGATTATATCTGTTCCTCTAGTAAAACCAGGACTGATAAATTCAATATTACAAGTCATCTAGAGATGCCTCAAGGTACCTGAGAAGATGTGCATGGATTCTATGCAAATATTGTGCCACTTGATATAAGAGGCAGGAGCATCCTTCGAAGATACCAAGGACAACTACATTCACATTCACTTTCTGGTCAGAGAACACACTAAAGTACAGAGTGTCTCATCACCTTTACTTCAAATTCTAGGCCATGTTGAAGATAAAATCTGTATATACTGTATACATTCTTAGACATGTAATTTCCTACATCCTTTTAGCAAACATAAGATTTAAGGGTTAAAATATACTTGTTACAGTAACAAGGAATTGTTACTCAATTCCACAAGTACATTATCTAAGTTTTTATAAAGTAAATCACTATGGTTTAGATAGTGTTTCCCAACGGCTCAAGTCTTAAAAGTTTGGTTCCCAACCTGGGGTGCTACTGGGAGGCAGTGCGAACTTTAAGCGATGGGCTATTAGGGGTCCTCCAGCCATCGGAGGCGCACACAGAAGGGGATATGGAGTCCCAAGCCCTTTACTCCTCCTCCTCCTGCTCCTGGTTTCCTGTTCTGGCCATGCTCTGTTCTACCACATGCTTACCGCCATCGTGTGCTACCTTGCTACAGGCTCATAGTGACAGGCCCAATTGTCACGGACTGGAACCTCTGAAACCCTGAGCCTAAAGAACTCTCCCCTCTCTACAAACTGATCATCCAGGTATTTGCAGTGGTGACGCAGAGCTAACACAGTCACCAAGGTAGCATCATAGGAGAACGAGAACCAGCTTGTTTCCTGCCACCACTTCCTGTTTCTTCTTCAAGTTGTCAAACAATTTCAGGAGAATTTATTCCAGGTACACAGTATTACCAGCAACCCTGGACTTGGGCTGTAATTACTCAATCCACTGCTCACCACTGCTGCTTATACTTTGTGTATTTTTTCCTCTTGAAATATTTGTTACAATCTCATTTTCTTTTGCTAGAATAATTGCTAAGCGTAGTTTTCAGATAATCCTTTTATGTCTAGGAAATGGTTTCTCTCATGCAGAATATTTTTTGGATGACATCCTTACTTACTATCCTGTGAACACGGTTCCAGCTACACCTTTCAGCTTGTAGATGTGCAGTTTAATAGCAACCTGATTTGTTTTACCTTGGTACAAAAATCTGATCCTTCTCTGGAGTCTTGTATAATTTTCTCTCCATTCTTAGACTCAGAAATTCCATCAGGCTAAGTCTGGATGATATTAATCTATGAGGATTCACTTGAGGGGCCCTTTTCATACAAGCTCACTTCTTCCTTAGCTACAGGCAAGTTCCTGCTTTTCCTTT